GGAGGTCCACACATAATAAAATAATCGTGGACCCCCCTCCATGTGAGGGGGGTGTAAAAGATTGTGTGAAAGTTTGTGGGTACATGTAGCATCACCCTATAAACAATTGCAGCTCTTTTTTTATGCCCAGAAGCTGCCTCTATTTTGTTTCCTCAAGCTGCCATTTTTTTCCTCCTCTAAAGCTGCAATTGCTCTCTTTCTTTTCCAAATAGCTGCCATCATCTTCTTCTTCTTCTCCTCTGTGTGTGTATATATATATATATAAGGCAGTCGGACCTCTTTTCTCAAGTCGCCAAATTTTGTATCCAATTAGAAAAAATGCTTACTTCCAAGTCCTCGTACTATGAATTTTTTCATTTTTTCGTTATTTTACATTCTTTTCTTCAATTTTTCATTAAACATAAAACTTTATCTACAAAATAAAATATAACATAAATTATGTAGAATTTTATTCAAAAAATAATAAAATATCATAATTTAGAGTTTCGAATAAGTGTAAAACCTACCCTTGTCATTGAGCTTGATCATGTGGATAAGATTTGTAACAATACAAACTATTAGTATGATTTTTCGAATCTAAGCAGAACATATTTTGTTTTAATCGATTTTCAGATAAGATCATTTTTCAACGCAATCATAACAACAATCGTTTTAATTCTTAATATACATTAAACCAATAATAAATGTTTAATATACGACAATATATGGCGTCACTGCATACATCATAAATAGTACAAATGATGTGTACATGAATTATTTCAGAATGACACATCGAAGGGGGACCAAGAATAAGCCGTGTCAGCAAATTCAATCCATTTTCTCTTAGTCGCCACGTATTTATTGTGTAGAAGCTTACAATAAATCTCTCTCTCTCTCTCCCCGAAATTGGCTCGTCGAGACCATTCAATTTAATAGACAACATGCTTGAAGTTGTAATATATTTGTATACACCCATTTTTTAGGGGGAAATTTAGAAGGACCAATGAAAAATGACAACCGTGTTTAGAATTTTATAAAAAAACCAATAATTATTTTCACTACAGATGATCACCATATGATGTGACATTAAGCGAATGTTCGGTAAAAGTTTGATAAAATTTGTTATGAGGTATGAAGAAATAATTCTATGACGGTTTGTGAAATATTTTACTTTTAAAAATTTTTAATGATACCTAAGTCCCTGTTGTTTGGTCTCATTTCTTAAAATTCATTTTTTCTCGAATTCATTTTTAACTGTGCATTTCATGGAACTCGTAACTTTTATCCATATTTGAATCGCATATTTCATCAACTGTTATCAAAATCTACTAAAATTTTGATTTTTAGACCCACAATAGAAAACTGGATACGATATACTGTGGATTTGTAGTTGTCTTGTAAATTTCATCAACTAAAGAAATTTTCACAAGATCTCTTTTGATTGAATCAGTAGTTTCCACTACAAATTCGTGAATTGTACCCATATTAGAAACTGAGTATGATATATTGTGGATATGTAGTTTTCTTATAAATTGCATTCACTAAAGAAATTGTTCAAAGATTCTTTCAGTTGACATGTAAAATTCTCAAGATTTCAAACATTGAATCTCTGATTTTCACTACAAATTCTTGAATTGTACCCTTTGGATCTGAGTATGACATGCTTTGGATTTGTAATTGCCTTATAAATCACAATCACTAAAGAAATTGTACAAAGGCACTTCAACCTTGTTCTACAATTACTCTCTTGATTTATTCCGGTGGTAGATTGTGTCAAAGGATAATTTAACATCGATTTTTAAGAAAATAAAAGGAAAAATTACGCAAACAAGCCAAAATAGGGGCCTTGTAAAGAAAATATCGTTCAAGAGAATAACTTATCAAGATAATAGAATTACCTTTTTTTTCTTTATTTTTATTTTTTTTAAAAAATTATTTTTGTTCGTATTAATTAGGAGAATCTAAATTGACGTCAGAATGAAAATTTAATTTAAAGTGATGTCGAAAATGGAAACGAAACCAAATTATTAAATTTAATTCTAACAGTTAATTTTGGCTCGTTATTTTGACTTGTAGTTTAATGATTTTCAATTCGTATTTAATGCACAATCAGAGCATGTTAATTTATATAATTATATTTATATATTAAATTAGAGGAAATTACACTAAATGTCAATTTTTGACTTTACATTTTCAAAAATGTCACTTTCTAAAAGTCTTTGCAAAATTGTCATTTTTTGATTTTTTTGCCTCTCTAGAAAATTTAAATATTCTCCACGTCCTTGAATTGACAACATAAAAAAATTGTACAAAAAGTGTAAAAAATCTAACAATCAATCACTTCACAATCGTACTTGAAAATTTACTTTCCATTAACCCAACCCAAATATCATTATTACAAAATCTCAATCCTCATTTCTTCAACTTCATCGGCCGATTCAGTCCTAAATTGAATTGAAAATGCAATTCCCACGTACCTCAAATCTTCTCTCATTATCTCTCTACAAAGCCCAAAGGATTGCCTGCATGTTGGTTTTTTTCTTGCTAGTTTAGTAATTTATATTTGGTAATTTCTCAAGTTGAATCCGTCCCATTGTCCCTGAATTTTTCTTGTTGGTTTTGTTCATTGGGTGATAGACTATGGTATGCATAAGAGGGACGGGGTATTGGTTCTGTTTACAAAGGATGGGTTGATGAACACTCGCAGCATCAAAGCCTGGGGTTGGGATTGTGATAGCTGTTAAAAGGCTAAACCAAGAAGGGTAGCAGGGTCACAGGGAATGATTGGTATGTACGATTTTATCAAGAAGTCAATTTTGTAATTAAAAATCCTATTCACAGTTGAAAACATGTCATGGCAAAGTCAAGACTCCAATGTACTTGGAAATTTGTTAAGCATATTTGTCACTTAATTTTGTTAAGCATATCTGTCCAATAATTGTGAGTGATATGCATTTGCTTGAAGTAGCATTAGACAATTAATGCATGCATTTAAAATATAGTTCAAACATACAGCTATAATGGCAATAACATGAATTAGCAGTTGTACACTTTGATAATCTCCTATTCATTGATAAGCTTTACTTTTGAATTTTCAGGCAGAAATTAACTATCTTGGGCAGCTTCGGCATCCTAATCTTGTGAAATTAATTGGTTACTGCTTAGACGATGACCGCAGAGTTTTGGTTTATGAGTTCATGCCCAAGGGTAGCATGGAGAATCATCTATTCTGGAGTGATTTCAGTGTACCCCTTATGCATACCATAGTGTAATAACTTAGTGTACCCCCTTATGCATACCATAGTATAAGAATTACGAAAAGCTAAGTTATTATTAAAACAATGCTATCAAAGATTCAAAATCAGATTGAAATTTGAGAAAACTCGGAAACCGCTATCATCATAGGCGGATAGGTCCCAAATTAAAATTTAGAACCTGTTAAAATCACTTAAGAATAGGCAAGGTCAGGCTCAAAACTGTCAATTCATTGGAAAAGATTCCACTGATAATAAAGACTTGAAAAAGATTAAGATTCCACTGATAATAAAGACTTGCAAAAGATTCCACTGATAATTAAGTTTTTCTTCCAAAATCAAGTTAATCTTTTGCAAAAATAATTGAAAAAAATTTGGAAATTAATTATTTTCTGTTTTCATTTTCCAAGTCTTGACAACAGAGGATCACGATCAGGTTTCTGTGACT